TCGAACCATAGATGCATCTATTACCCCGCTCGCGAATCACACGTGCGACGCGGTCAAACATAAATAAAATCATCACAAGCAGACAATAATATATATCTGAGGAGTAGTCATTCACAGAAAATTCCCAAATTCTCTTTTAAGGACCAAATAGAATAAGGTTCCCTCACTAGTTGCATTTACCTTAATCAAATAATTTATACAATTCCGAATTTAACATCAAGTTACAAGAATATCACGTAGAACATGCTTTTGGGCCCTAGACTACCCGAACTTAACATAATAGTCGCTACGCACGGACTCTCGTCACCTAGTGCGCACGTAGCCCCCGCATATAATGGCAATTAATTCAGTTATTACACCTATGAGGACAATTCCTTCTTACAAGGTTAGAAAGGAGACTCACCTCGATCCAAAGCGCACCTCCAAATATCAAGAACAAGTCCAAGCCCCTAATTCGGAGCCGAATAATCCCAAACTAGTTAAATAAAGTAAGAACTAGTCAATATAGACTCACAAGATTGAATTCTATCTATTTAAGCAATTTTCCAACCATTAACACAAGTTTCCTAAATTCCGACTCCGGGCCCATGTGACCGGATTCCGAGATTTTTCGAAGGAAGTTGTTCTCTACAACCTAAGGATCAATAATATATGATTTCTAATTAATTCCCTAACAATTTTCGTAGTTAAACCTAAGTTATATTAAAACCCTAGGTCTTGCTCTATCCTCTTGATTTTGCGAAATTTTTAGTGTTTAATCCACCTAATACGCAAGTATTAAACTAAGGATGGGTGGAATAAACTTACTTCACAATGTTAAGTGAAAGTCTTCTTCCCAAAGCTCCCAAAATCGCCAATGGAAGAATGAAAATGTGATAAAAATGACTTAGAACCCATTTTAAATGAACCTCACTGCCCAGCGATTTCTGCATCTGCGGTCAGGGGACCGCATCTGCGAGAATGAGGCGTCATTTGAGAAAAAGGGTAGGGAAGGCTGGGACCGCTTCTGCGGTCTGAAGCCCGCATCGGCGGAGCCACTTTTGCGGCTAGGGAG